AGACCAGGCTGGCCTCAAACTCCCATAGATTTGCCTGCCTCTGCCTCCTGAGTGTTGAGATTAAAGGCATGCGTCACTACCACCCACTTTTATCTGTATTTCTCACATTAAAGAAAGTTGCTCAGCAGGTCTACAGAGCGAGTTCCAGGGCAGCCTCCAAAGCCACAGAGAAACCCTGTCTCAAAAAACTAAAAAAAGAAAAAAAGAAAGTTGCTCAGATTTCTTTCTCATCCCCTTTATTGTCTATATATGGTAGGGCTACTGCATTTTTTGAGTTAATTTTGTATCCTGCTACTTTGTTGAAGGTGTTTATCAGCTGTAGAAGTTCCCTGGTAGAATTTTTTGGGTCACTTACCTAGACTAACATATCATCTGCAAATAGGTGAAAGTTTTACCTCTTCCTTTCCAATCTGTATCCCCTTGATCTTCTTTTGTTGTTTTATTGCTCTAGCAAGAACTTCAAGTGCAATATTGAAGAGATATGGAGAGAGTGGACAACCTTGTCTTTTTCCTGATTTTAGAGGAATTGTCTTGAGTTTCTCTCCATTTAGTTTGATGCTGGCTGTTGGTTTGCTGTATATAGCTTTTATTATGTTTAGGTATGTTCCTGTTATCCCTGATCTCTCCAAGGCCTTTATCAGGAAGGGATATTGGATTTTTTTCAGCATCTAGTGAGATGATCATGTGGTTTTTCTTTTTCAGATTGTTTATATGGTGGATTACACTGAGTATATGAACTGTTTCATCTGTAGTGAAATGAGATTAAAAGATGAACAGATGTGAAAGTGCTTTATACATGTGCCCCGTTTTGCACACCTGTCACCACTGTTAGAGGAGGAGTACATCCAGCCTCTACGCAAGGCCTGTGACCTAACACACAGGTCTCTATTTACTTGAGATTCCCAGGGGTTTGAAAGACAGTCCTCTTCCTATCACAGGGAGAAGCAGGGTTCTCCTGGCTATGGTAAACAATCCCCAATACGTTTTTATGCCAGCTTAGGAGCACCGCACCCCTAAGAGCACCCCATCCCCAAGAGCACACACTCCTCCTAAGAGCACCCCACCCCCGAGAGCACACACTCCTCCTAAGAGCACTGCACTCCTAAGAGCACACACTCCTAAGAACACCATATGACTTGGATGCACTGGAAATAGAATCCTTTCCTTACTTTAGGTAGAGGAGAAAATGTAAGGATACCAAGAGCTCTAGCATTTTTAAAGGCCCTAAAACATATTTTAAAGCCTAAGCAAGCTAGGCAGTGGTGGCGCACGCCTTTAATCCTGGCACTCGGGAGGCAGAGGCAGGCGAATCTCTGTGAGTTCGAGGCTGGGCTAGGCCGGGCTGGACCGACAGCCTCCAAAACAATACAGAGAAACCCTGTCTTGTAAAAACAAACAAACAAACAAACAAACAAACAAACAAAAAAACCTAAGCAAAAGCTAGGCTGCTCAGCTCTGGGCTTGATCTGAATGGGTAATAAGGGAATGAAGAAAGGACAGCCACACAGATACATGTACAGAAAAGGCTGGGACGGGGTGGTTGTACTTGCTCTGATGGAGGATACTTACCATGCAACAACCCAGAGACAGCATAGAGGCAGGTTAGCTAGTCTAGTGGGGGTATCTGAAGAGGAGCAGTCATCAGGGAGGAGGAAGCTATGGCGACTCGTTTTTGTTCACACTGGTCCATCATCTATAAACACTTGTACTTGGACCAGAGGAAGATGTTTGCATTCCCCGAGCCTACCTAGCCCAGGGAAGGTTTTGACAATATGTATGGGTCTGAAGCATTGGGGTCCTTGACATAACACTGCAGTCCTGACTTCATCTGCTCCCCACACTAGCATTGTAGCTACTGAGTGAATCTAGCTATTCTCAGTTCTGAGGACCCCTAAAATTGCTCAGATGAGGTGTTGCAGGCAAACAGAACTTTCCGGAATTCCACAGCTATCTCTCATAGGCTGGAGGGAGATGGAGCAGCAGGCACAGCTGAATTCAGCCTGTCTCAAAGGGACGTTAGCATCACTCTCTCATCTGACATAGATGGGGTGGTGAGATGTCAGGTAGATTTGGGTTTTTACTACAGCTCTGCCACCAACTAAGAAAAGAATCATGGAATCACTCAACCACAAACCTCAAGTTTCTTATCCATTAAATGTGACTCAGTGAGAATGTATTTGAAAACTTCTAAAAGTTAGAAGTACAAGAGAAAGTAAAAAATGTTTCCGTGCTGAGGGTCATAAACACTAGAAATTGCCTGGAAGACCAAGTCTGAGTATCACCCTGGGAAAATGCAGATTTCACAAACAGTACATCCTACTTTCAAAGGGCAAGGACAGGATCTGAACTGAAAACCAAGGAACTTTAAAGAAACCAGTGAGATGAATTAACACTGGCCTCGCACACACCAGACCAAACTGAAGTTTTAAGCCCATGAACGATCAGGAAAAAGAAATTCTTGTGGAAGGTAGAGTCTTCAGAAGTCATTTGCATGGATGGACAGACAACATGTGCAATGACTGACTGCGGCTGTCCTAACAATGGACTCTAGGAGCAGCTAAAATCGTTAACATTGAGCAACAGAGCTCTGTGGGTTATGACACATGTGGTAGTCAGGCTGCTACTGATCATATCACCACTTCAGCCAGAAAACTCAGCTGCTCTGTCAAGTATGTTAAAAATGGAAAGTGCACCACACTTGTTGGTAGCTTTCTCCCCAAGCACTTAAAGAAACTGTGAGGCCAACTTTTGTAATGGCGCCTATTATGCAATGGTATTATGCAATTAGAAATGTAGCCATGTAAATTTCTCTAATGGAAACCTCTGGAGAAATACAGATCTCAAGCCCATGAGGACATCAAAGGCCTCGCTGTGGGGGAAAGCCCCCACATAGGAAAATATGTGGGCCTGATTTATTCCATTCTGGAAGGGGGAGACATGAGTTTCCTGGGCTGGGATGAGAGACCAAAGACCCGAGAAGACAAGAGCAGTGAAACCTACAGACCACCAGGTAGCTTGTCTTCACAATGGCAGGCTGCAGTCTGAAGGGCACAGAAAAAACTCTAAATTTTTAGGTGACAAATAAGGACCATGAGACCTGCCCCTAACCTGTCTTCCTTCAATCATGCCACTCAAGGAACTGTTATGCTTAATTCAAGATACATGCAGTTTAGTTTTGTTTTCCAGAACATTGCCCATTGCATGGAGAAGTGTCCCAGAGATTACAATTCAATATGCTGTACAATAGTCCAACCTCCACTATCCCCAGTGTCAAATTTTCAAAATTCTTTACAACACTCACCATCCACCACTTACTCAGGTTCTTAACTCTATGTTCAAGCATTAGGTCAAGAGGGACACAGATGGCAAGAGAGTGGGTTTTGGAGTGAAAACATTCTATTTTCAAATCTTCATCCCACCCTTTTACTGGCAGGAATGGCTGAGTAACCTCGAACAACAATTCCTCTGATTCTCTGTTATTTCTTTCTAAAAACTAAATTGTAGCCGCTGTTATTTCCTGTATATATGTATGATGTGTGTGTGGGTACATGTATGCAGGATATGTGTGTGGGTGCATGTACCCATAGTGTGCATGTAGCAACCAGAAGCTATGTGGAGTCAGCTCTCCGTCCACTTTACGTGAGTTCCAGGATCAGGGTGTAAGGTTTGCACAGCAAGCTCCTTGCCCCTCTGAGTCATCTCATCAGCCTTGATTCTCAGTTTTTTGATCTACAAAATGGGATCATGGCACAGGTATGTGGCAAGGCACATATTTTCCCCTTCTATGAACCCAGGGGTGGTTTAGATGCTACTTAGATGTCTGCACAAAGGCTAGACCAGTAAAAGACACTAAAAATGGAGATGTCATAGGTAACCTCTTAATCAGCTGAATTGGAAGTCTGTTCCTCTTCAATCACTCAGCCAGTGTACCGCACTGAGGATGAGGGATCTCATATATCCTTCTAAATCTACCCACTGAGAACACAGGGTACTATTCCTTTGCTATTACTCTCATAGCGTCCCAGATACTTTTGAGGAGAAATCCAAAACTATTAAAGAAGGGAAAGGAAGGTTGTTGAGATGGCTCAGTGGGTAGAGGCTTTTGCTCACAGACTGGATGATTCGAGTTCAGATTCCTGGGTCACACAAGGTGATAGGAGAGAACTGGATAGCAAGAGTTCTCTGACTTCCATAAGTGAACGTGCGCGTGCGCTCACACACACACACACACACACGAAAATATTCTAAAAGAATGAAAGTGCAACTAGAAACATATAAAAATAGCATCAACATCCTTAGATGCTGACCTTCTGGAGAATTTGTTAGACAACATACTCTTCTTAAAAAGCATAATAAATATTAACATGTTTGAACAGACACAGAAACATGCTAAATTAAAATGAAAAATATTTTAAAATACCTCAAACTCAAAAGTGTTTAAAGTGTCCTGGTCTTCCTATTTCTCTGGCTAACTGTAGGAAGCAACCTATCTATCACCTTGTGTGCAATTAGCTCATCATGTAGATAAGAAGGTAAAACCATCCTGGAACAGGAAACCAATGTTCTTCCTGTCTAATCAACAAATCTCAAAGATTTATTCTGCTCATCTCTCTCCTCTTGCTCTTGTCCACAACAGGCTGCTTACAAGCTCAGAGTGGCTTTGACAAAGAGCATTTTCACAAGTTACTTTTGTATCTCCACCCCCTTAAAGAAAAGAGGAAAATTTGCTTCATACAGAAGGCGTTCATTGTATGAATGAAAACTGCCACTGAAGTGTGGGCTAACTCAACCAAGAGGGATTTCACCTACATCCATTCAGTCAGTATATGGGGGCTTAAAGAAATTCCAGAGAGTCATCAGAAGAGGGAAAACAAAGGTAATGCTTTCTGCCACACAGGTAGAGTCTTTGAAAATATGTGTAATATGTAAAACACTCTGACACCCCCGGGTTATTTTTCCAGCATTAACAGTATAAATTGCCTCCCATGCTGGAGAGCTGCCTATCACTCTTGTTAATCACTACTTGCTGGCCACAAGGACTGCAGGCATGTACAGCATGCAGCTCGCATCCTGTCTTGCACTGACGCTCGCACTCCTTGTCAGCAGTGCACCCACTTCAAGCTCTAAAAAGGAAACCCAGCAGCACCTCGAGCAGTTACTGCTGGACTTACAGGAGCTTCTGAAAGGGATCAATGTAAGTGCATGTCCTTCCTGTCTATGGGCACTGTCTTTAGTTTTCTTGCCAAAGGTTGTGTTTTAATAACAGTGCGTTATGCTTTCTCAGAATTACAAGAATCCGAAACTCCCCATGATGCTCACGTTTAAATTTTACATGCCCAAGAAGGTAAGTGAGTTTCTATGTTCAATTGGTGCTTTGATGAATTCAAAGTAGCATGTATGTTTGCACACTCATCAGATGAATAGTACCTAATCTGAAGAAAAAAAATTCTTCAATATCTGAGTGTAAAATTTCCTGTTTGATAATGGCATTTCTTTTCAATGGTTTTGTCTAAATTTTTCTTATGTATTTGTGTGTTGGGAAAGAGGAAGAAAACACAGGATAACTGCTTTTTGATGCTGGGATAATTTAAAGACTGTGGTGATTTCTGTTTTATGATCATCCTAGAGATATTTGAACAGATGCATTATGTTAGCTTGTGAAATGTCAAGATTGACTTCAACGGGGTCTCATTTTATAGACACTTTACTGTTGTAAGGAAGATCCCTAAGACTCCATGTTTGAGGAGCAGCACATCCAGTATTCACAGCCACTAGGGTGGGTGATCTGAAGTGAAGTTTCAGCTCTGCTAGGCCTTAGCTCTCATGGCCTTGGGAGGTTGCCTATGTTCATCCACCTAGTTACATAAATGATAATTGTATGCTTATAGCTCAACATGCTTTGGAACAGCATCTAGCTAGCACTACATAGACATGCTATTGGTGCTAGTGAAGAAAAAGTCTGAGACATAAAATACGATTTTGGATTTATATAGTCTTTTTTTTTTAACCGGGGATCCAGAGAGCTGTCGTATTTCTATATGACATTGTCTCCCAATATTGGAAGTTTGTTTGGTCTCTTGGATGGAGAGGGTTGTATGATAAACAACAGCTCACCCAAGCTCTTAGAGCTGCATGAAGTGTAGAAGTTTGCTACAGTCCTGACACTCAAAAGAGGATGAACAATATTGGTGCTAGAAAGAGCTTGTCCCAGGATTAATCCAAGCCAAGAGAAGCATGGGATCTAAGAGGACACAGAGGCAATGCTGCTGACCCACCTCTGTGAAGTCAGGGAACTGTGCCTCTAGCTGTTACACTGGAGAAGAAAAGGAAATGACCCTAAGTGCTCTTCCATCTTAATTAGAGTCACATAACTTTCAACTCTAACACAAAAAAACTAGATAGTTCTGTGAAGGAGCATGCCACATTGAACATGCAGAATTCCTCATAACAAGCTGGAAGGCAACAGGTAGGCAAATTCAGAAATGCATGCTGTCCGGTCAGAACCCTTCCGCTAAGGATCACTAGACAGACATGAAATCATGTTAATTTAGAGAGTGGTGAAATCTAAGTTTTTAAGTAGCTATTGGAAACAAGAGGAATATGATAAAACCTGGTGATTTTCTTATTTAACCTCCATTCTACATATTGTAATAGAAACATTTATTTTAAAGAGTGCAGTTAATGAAAAGGAGTGACCATACCACTCTTGATCTACTTACTACGTGGTTGTGGGGAAGACACCGGTTCTGAGACTTAGTAAAATAGAGATAACTCAGTTCACTGCCTGCTTCTGGAGGACCTGCTGACTTTTATGGAAATCATAGTATACTATAGTACTAAACAATATTCTTTCTCACTGTATATACGCATAAATATGCATGATATATTCTTTCAGAAATGTACAGGAAACTTATCCAACTATTCTGTTCAAATTTGGTTGCTTTTTTATTTCATTTGGACAAATAAGAGCTTTAAATTTATTGATTTATTTATTTGTGTTTGTGTGTGGGGAAGTGCATGTATACCCGTGGAAGACAGAGGACGAAGTGTGAGAGTTGGGACACTCCTCCCATGATGTGGGTCACTGAGACTGAACTCAGGTCATCAAGTCTGGTGCCAAGTGCCTTTCCCTATAGAGCCGTCTTTCTAGCCCTGACAGTTCTTTAAAAAAGTACCTTTAGTAATTGCAGAGAAGTAAAAATTTAAGAAGTATTAAATGTGTCTTCCTGGAGATCTTGACAGTCATCCTTCTGGGTCATGATAACCAAATCTGTAAGATTGGAGTCTGTGACAGCTGGCATCCAAGGGCTCCTGTTCCTTGACTTCTGTGATTCTCAACTCTGGGTTATTAGACAGTAGAGTGCAGAATGTGTGAGAACCTTGCATTTCCCCACTCTCTCTGGGATTTCATTGCAGATTGGAAACGTAGTCTATACCTGTGATGTGCACTGTGACAGGGAAATCCAGACTTTTGACAAAGTCTAATGAAGCTAGAACAAAGTATTCACTAGACTGACATAAGAGTTAATGTTAACCACAGGGCTTTGAGCTCTCTCTTCTAGATTTAGCATATCCACTACTTCAGTCCCTCTTTACACTGAGAACAGGGAGTGGGTAAAAGCTAAGGGCTGCCTACTCTTGATTAGACAAACTGCAGATTACCTTCTGGTTCTTCAGTATATGTTAACTGAGCTGAGAGTTATGTTTCTCACTACTCTAGGCCACAGAATTGAAACATCTCCAGTGCCTGGAAGAAGAACTTGGAGCCCTGCAGAGCGTGCTGGATTTGGCTCAAAGCAAAAGCTTTCACTTGGAAGATGCTGAGAATTTCATCAGCAATATCAGAGTGACAGTTGTGAAACTAAAGGTAAGATGTTGCTTTATTTGCTAAGCTGGAAATAAAATAAAGGGGAGAAGAATTGGATTCTAAAATACCATGACATTCTGGTCTTTGTCAGATTCCATGCATTTAATCAGACAAAACTTAAAGTCCACTGACAGCATGAGTCCTACCACTTCAGGGTTCATCCACCATCATCTGCAATGAAATTCTGGAGGCACCCTGCTTCTTCTCACATTAGCATAGAATTGGAAGCGAGAAGTACTGAGTAGAACTCCACAAGGAACAGGCAGCGTGTGTTGCCTTCATATATTTATCAGACCAGGACCAATGATTTGAAAGACTTTTCCAGAGAGGTTATGCTGTCATTGGTGAAAGAACACAGAGATTTGCCTCCCAAAATACCAGCCAAGGAGGACAGCGAGAGCCCATTTCAGGGCTTTATTTTTAAATGCACAAGAAACATGGACTTTGTTGAGGCAAGGGAGAATCGTAGCTCTCTTTTCTCATTCCATCTGCCAAACAAAATTGCTGAGTTGACAGGTATCCTGAGCAAGCAGCATCATTTTGATTTCTGCAATAGCAGCAAGCCTCCAAGATGGTGTCAGGCTAGTCCTTTCCAACAAAACTTAATTTTTCCATTTGCTGCTTTCACCTGAAGCTTATAAAATAGGCCAAGATCCGTGTCATCTAGGTGTTGAAAGGCTTAGGTCCTTATCTATGCAAAGAAGTCTGCTCTGAAATTTCTGGCCCACAGTAGAAAGTTCATCCCAAATGAAAGGTATGAATTTTAGAGGTACATGAAAACTAGGAAATCATGTTTCAGTTAAGATGTTAGAACATTTGAGTAGTTATGTAGAGGGTCCATAAGATCATGGCAGCTTATTAAAAAAAACATTTATTCAAAAGAAATACTCTGCCTCATTTAACTTACAAGGGATTACTCAGATTTGGAAAAGCCATCCCATAAATCTGTTAAAATATTTCTCAGCTTGTCACCTAGAAACAGAGCTGAAATACCTCCTTTGAGCAAAGGAGGTTAGCATCTAGAAAGCCAGTCTACACAACAAATTTATAACATTTCTACTTGTCCAAACTGGGAGAATCATCTGCATTGATACCAGGGCAGGCCTCTTTATGAAATGTTCTCCAAATTCTCTCAATAGACCTTTGTCCTAACCCACTCTGGGTTGTTCCTATTCTGACTTGGGAAAGTATGAGACTAATAGAATCTTAAGGGTTAGAAAAGAACATATAATATGTATCATTTCTTTATCTAAATCTAAATCAATACATAGCTGTGTGCACTTACCAGACAAGAGGTTAAACACCTGCAGTCTCCAAAAGAGTTCAATGTTTCATTCAGATGTCCATTTGTACTCACTCAGGAAAATTTTATCTTGTATGCTTTTATCATTTGGCATCATAAAAAACACAATCTGACAATTTTGATCATTTAAGAAGTGTGAATGATTATTTAACAAGTGCTGAAATAAATGCCTATAGAACTGTAGTGAAGAATAACTATGTAAAGTAAACTATCTTAGTCTAAAACTTAATATTCTTTTTTAGGGCTCTGAAAGCACATTCAGATGTGAATTCGATGATGAGACAGTAACTGTGGTGGAATTTCTGAACAGATGGATCACCTTCTGTCAAAGCAGTATCGCAACAATGACTCAATAATTACCTGCCTCCTACAACACATTGGATTTCTATTTATTTAAATATTTAAAGTTATATTTATTTTGGATGTATTGTTTACTATCTTTTGTAACTATTAGTCTTCAGATGATAAATATGGATCTTTAAAGATTCTTTTTGTAAGCCCCAAGGGCTCTAAATGTTTTATTTATCTCAAATTATTTATTATATTGAATTGTTAAATATCATGTCTATGTAGATTCATTAATAAAAACATTTACAAGAGTTGGTGAATATAAATAAGCTCAGATGTCTATTTTTTTAGGACAGCACAAAGCAAGCTCTAGAACGTTTCTCAGTTATTCTTGTGAACTCTATGATGGTCAATGTGCTTACAAGAACCACTCTTCCCTGGAGAAGGATGTAAAATGAGACAAGAGCTTCTCAATGTCCTTGCACCCTCCCTTTATGTATTGATTGGATCTTCAGTTCTGGCAAAAGAAAAGTTTATAAGACTATAGTATTTTCCTTTCCTTTAAATTTAAACAGGATACTAAACAAAAATCTTGAAACCTTTTGTCATAATCTGTGTTGTAAAAAAGCAAAAAAAGTCTTGATGCTTTATATAGAGATGTTTAGCTCAGTTTTGGATGTTCAAGAATATGTGACGAACTCATGGCAGCATGCCATCACAATAGTGGGAGTATGTGAAGAAGACAGTGTGTGTGTGTGTGTGTGTGTGTGTGTATGTGCGCGCGCACGCACGTGCATGCGTGCTTGCGTGTGTGTGCACGTGTGTGTGACTTATCACAACCCAATTTTGCAGGAAATAGTCCAGTCCCACATACCCTGACCCATTCCCCTGAAGCAGCATTTATTAATCTATGAGGTACGCCCCAGACCTAACATAGTTACCTTGCACCAAGCCTACCATTACCTGCTATGCGCACCACCACACTGGGAACCAACTTTCCATCACATGAACAAATCAGCATATCCCACAGAACAATGTGCCCTCTACACTTTAACATTGCTGTCTGCCTGGAGGAATCAGAAGGCCTCTCCTCTTCTCTGGGTCCTGACAATGGTATCAGTGAAAGTTCCTCCTCCCTTTGGCTGTGTCTCTTGACCAAAGAGCCTACCTTCTCTTAAGGTGGTTTTATGGGTATATTTTCTTCTTGGGTCTCACCTTTCGTTCCCCATTTCCTTTAAAGCTGAGGACACTGTTGCCAGCTCTAGAGTACCTGTGCTGACCTTTACAGACACCTTGTGTCTTGGCCAAAACTTTGAGTCACCCCTTTATCAAATGCCCCTTCTTGGGAATGACACCTGTTTTCTGCTAGGTCTGCAGTACACTAATTGTATCAGAAATAGCACCAGAAAATGCACCCCAAATAGGACTCTCAAACTGTGCTGCTCATGTATTGAAGGAACAGGGCAATAGTACCACACGGTATGTCCTGAATCCATGCTACACCAATGGTAGCATGTGATGAAATAAAGCTAAAAGACAAGTACTACGTGGTATGTTCTGATTCGTGGTGTGCCAATGGCATTTATATAACTATGTATATAATCTGTTGTTTACTTAAAAATAGTTTAAAGTAGAAGAATGAATACTTGGATAGGAAACAGTGTATGCTACACAAATACTAATTCTGAACAACAACAACAATTACAACAAAAACAAAACAAAAACTATAGGTAGCGAGAACAGACTTTAAGGTAAGAAGAGCATTGATAAGGACACGATTTTTTTAAATTTTTGAATTTATTTTAAACATTCCAATCCCAGTTTCCCTTCCATCCTCTCCTCCGATTCTCCCCTCCTTCCCCCATCTCACCTCCCATCCACTCTTCAGAGAAGGTAAGGCCTCCTCTAGGCTGCCAACTAAGTCTGTCCCATCACCTTGTTGAGGCAGGGCCACGGCACCCCCGCCACCATGTCTGGGCGTCTCTGTGGAGGTGTCTCTCCACAGAGAACCGACTCCACAAAGTCAGTTTATGAATTATAGTTAGATCTTGGTACCACTGCCAGTGGCCTCATATACTGTCTAAGCCTCACCATTGTCACCTGTATTCTGGAGTCCTGGTTCAGTCCTGTGCTGGTTCCCCAGTTGACAGTGCAGTCAGTGATTCTGTGGGTTTCCCCATCATGGTCTTGACTCCTTTGTTCATATTATCGCTCTTCCCTCAACTCAATTGTACTCCAGGAGCTTGGCCCATTGGTTAGTTATGGATTTCTGTATCTGCTTCCGTCCCTATGTGGAAGAGGGTTCTAACTTCTCTGGGGTTGTGGATTGTAGGTTGGGTATCTTTTGCTTTGTGTCTGGTATCCACTTAAGAGTGAGTACATACTATATTTGTCAGGATGTTTTTTCTAGTTCTGTCCATTTACCTGCAAATTTAAAGATGTCATTGTTTCTTACCACATAAATTTATCATATTTTCTTTATCCATTCTTTGGTTGAGGGGCAACTAGGTCATTTCCAAGTTCTGGCTATTACAAATAATGCTGCTATGAATATAGTTGAGCAAATGTCCTTGGTGGGAGTGTGCCTTCTTTGGGTGTAAGGGTGTGGTTTTATAATGATCAGCTAGTTCATTCAACAAAACACACCAGTTCTAAATGCGATCCATCAAATTGTAGCACAACTTCCAAGGACACACACAAAAGCTTCTGCATCCAGCCTTGACAGAGCTTGGTACCAGAGCAGTCCGCTAGTGGCTATCCATGAAAAGGGGACTCTGAACTACAGGTACCAATGCAGTAGCTACAGCTGAGTTCCCACAAAAGCACTACAATGTTACTGACTTAAGAAACAGAAGTTAGACTCAGTCTACCACAAGACCCAGCAATTCCACTCTTAGGCATATACCCAAAAGATGCCCATTCACACAACAAGGATGCCTGTTCCACTATGTTCATAGCAGCATTATATGTAATAGCTAGATACTGGAAGCAACCTAGATGCCCCTCAACTGAAGAGTGGATAGAGAAAATGTGGTACATTTACACAATTGAGTATTACTCAGCAGAAAAAAAAAAACAATGGAATCTTGAAATTCGCAGGCAAATGGATGGCAGTAGAAAAAAACATCCTGAGTGAGGTAACCCAGTCACAAAAAGGCAAACATGGTATGTATTCATTCATATATGGATTTTAGACATGGATCAGGATAGTGCCAGTCCGCAATTCCACTGACAAGAGAGTCTGGGAAACAGGAAAGAACCTAAGAGAGATATGCATGGTACCCCAGAGAAGAGGAATGAGGCAAGATCTTCTGAACGGATTGGAAACACTGCGAGGGGTGGAGGGAGGAGTGGGAGCTGGGAAGAAGAGAGGGGGAGAAGAGGAGGAGAGAGTAGGTCATGGGGGAACAGGAAGGTTGAGTGGGGGTAGAATAGGGGGAGAACAGGATGAGAAATACCATAATAGAGGGAGTCACAGGTTTGAAGAGAGATCTGGCACCAGTGAAACCTCTAGTAATCTAAAAGGATGACACCAACTGGCAAGCTAAGCAATAGTGGAGAGATTACCTTAAATGCCCATTCCTGATAATGAACTTGACGTCTACCTTATATGCCACCTAGAACTTTCACCCAGTGATGGAAGCAGAGGCAAACACCCACAGTTAAACACTGAACTGAACCCATGGAGCCCAGTGACAGAGAGAGAGAGAGAGGAGCGATGAGCAAATTGGCAAAGAATGGGCTGGAAAAACTAGCAGAGACAGCTGATCTGAACAAGGGGGAGATATTGGACCCCAGACCGACTGCTGGGAGGCCAGCATGGGACTGATCCAGACCCCCTGAGTGTGAGAGTCAGTGAGGAGGCCTTGGCAACCTATGGGGTCCTGGGCAGTAGATCAGTATTTATCCCTGACATACAAACAGACTTCGTGTGTCCCTAACACAAAGAGGGATGCTCTCTCAGCCTGGACTCTTAGGGGAGTGCCTGGACCCCACCCTGAGCGCAATGACAGACTCTGGATATCCCCTATGTGGAAGGAAGTGGGGATAGGGTGGGAGGCTGGGAGGGATGGTGGGGGGGGTGCGGGAGGAGGGGAGGAAGAGGGAACTGGGATTGACATGTGAGGCAAGCTATTTAAAATTAAAGTAATATAAAGATAAAAATTTTAAAGATATATACAAACTTAAAACAGTCAAGATATTTTTGAAGAAAAAGAATTCATACAAGCAACATGTGGCTGGCACCTTTTCTTGAAAGTATACAAATTGGGCCAGCACTATGGTTCCATAGATAAGAACTCTTGTCCTGAAAGCCTGACTACCTGGGTTCCATCCTAAGAACACAAAATGGAAGGCAAAAACTAGTTTCATATGGAAGGGGAGAATTCACTCCCAAGTTGTCATTTGATCCCCCACACACACACTATAGTATTCTTTTAGCGACACAACACAGTCCACAAAGTACTTTTGTTTCACAACCTGATATCTATATTGAATAATGGTTTCAGAAAATGAAAGACGGGTGTTATTGAGAAGATGAAAGAGACAAGACTAAGGTTGTGGAAAACTCTATAGAGGACTCAGTATTTTGGGCATATTCAATTAAAAAGAAAAAGAGTGATAGAAATCCTATTGATTAATACTTAGCAGCTAAATCCCACTATAGAAATGTTATGCCAATTCTGGTTCCAGTAGTCTACACATACTATGGGATACTAGTGTTATGATATACTAACTGACTCATGGTTATGCACCCAAACATACTTCTACTTTTTACATTTCATGAAGTAACAAGATGGGTATTTTCTTCAACATGAAACAGTTGAGGAAGTTTATGTGATCTAATATTATCCACATTTAAAAGCTGCTAAAGTAAGATGATGGGTAAATGGAGACTCATTTACTATTTTCTACTTGTTTTAATTCTCATAATTTCTGAGATGAAGGAATGGGGATGTACTCAGTTGGTACAGTGCTTGCCAAGTATATATGAAATTCTGGGTTTAGTTCTCAGCACTACAAGTCAAGTGTGGTGGCGCATACCTATAAGCCCAACATTTGAAACGAGGAGGCACAAGTTCATCCTTGGCTATGCTGTAAGCTTAAAGCCATCCTGCAGATAAGACCCTCTCTCAAACAAACCAGAAACCTTTTTATTTTCACAATAGGAAAAATGTTGAACATTTCATTTCCCAACATAAATCCTTCAAGAGCTTCTTTCTCCCTGTCTGCTATATTTAACTCTGAATTTTTCCTCCAGTGTTCTGCATGCTAGCCCCTAATTGCTGTAATATTTCTTGTATAATCATTGCTTCAGTGTTTTCCA